ATTACAGGTGTGCTCCACTTCACCTTTCTCCAAACTGTTTTTAAGGCTCATCCATATTGCAGCATGTGGCAGGACTTTATTCCTTTTTATGGACAAATAATAATCCATTGTATAGATACATTTTATTATTCATTTATCAGCTGCTGCACATTTTTTGGCCATCATGAATAATACTGCTGTGAAATTAATGTACAAATTTTGTTACATATGTGCTAAATAAGTATAAAACAATTACAAGATCTAATAAATGAATTTCACAATGTTGTAAAACACAAGATTAATCTAAAAATTGAGTCTTATATGCCAGCAGGAAACAATTTATAAACTAAAAAATATTCCATTTAAAATAGCATCATATAGCATCATAAAAATAAAATATTTAGGAAAAACTTAATGAAGTTGTGCAAAACTTCTAAAGTTACAAAAAAAATGAAGAATATCTAAATAAATGGGATAATGTGTCATCTTCAAATTGTGAAGACTTATTAATGATAGAGAAGCCAACTCTCAAATTCATAGATTCAGCACAAAACCATGAAAATCTTAGCAGGCTTTTAAATTGGCAAGCTAACATTTCCATGGAAATACAAGACAGACTATTCAAAATCATCTTAACAGAAAGGGACAAAAATAGAAGGACTTAATACTACCTGCTCTCCTTACTTTCTATAAAGCTAAACTAGTAGGTGGGGAGAAAAAAGTCTTCAAAGAACTGAGCTGGAGCTGGAGGTGTGGTTCAGCGCTAGAGCACCCTGGGTTCAATCCCCAGCACCAAAAAGGAACGAAAAAGTCACGCGGGAATAACTGTGTTTGCATATGGGAAAAGTGAATCTCACCATACACAAAAGTTAATTTGAGAAAGATTATAAACCATGAAGCTATTAAGAAGAAAACAACAGATTATCTTTCAGAAGCTGGAAGCTGGAACTGCCCCAGCTGTTTTTTTTTTTTTTTGGAAGGCTTTTTCTCCCCATTGAATTGTTTTGGTGGCTTTTTGAAAATCAAATGGTCACCTAAGTGTAGATCTGTTTCTAGGCCCTCTATTCTCCTCCAATGATCTACCTGTCAATCCTTATGCCAGCACTATTTGTCTTGATTAGTATAGCTTTACAGAAAATATGGAAGGCAGGCAGTAAGTCCATAGAAGAGAAACAAAAAGCAATAGGCATAAAGGAAAATATTGATAAATTATACTTCACCAAAATTTCAAATATCTGCTTATTAAAAGACACTGTTAAGAAATTAATAAGCAAGCCACAGATTAGGAGAAACTATTTGCAAAATATGTATCTGACGAAGAACTAGGGTTCAGAATATGTAAACACCTCTTATAATTCAAAAGTAAAAACCCACTTAAGGAAATGGGGAAGCTGGCCGACTTTTTAAAGGTTTGGCTCACGGAAGCTGATGGAACTTGATGGTTTCTATCGATCTCCGTAAGATAAACCTGGAGTGAGGTTGGCCGGGAGTGAAGTTTTGAAGAGCGCGGGATCCACAGTCAGTCGACAGACTGGGGTGTGGGGCTGGGCGCGGGGGAGGTCCAGCCTGGGGGATGCAGGCTGGACCAGCCAGGACCCTGGTACGCTACCATGGCCACAAGCCGTACCGGAGGCCGGCCGCAAGCTGTAACTGCACTCAGAAGCGGTATCGGGACCTCAGGCGAAGTGCTGAGCCGAGGTAGCCAAAAGGAGACCACAGAAGATATGACAATGAATCCTGAAACTTTGAGGAAACGGCACGATAGGCCACCGTCACGTAGCGCGACAGCTAGGATTAAACGTCATGACTCTGCGACGTCGACGCGGCAATAAGACGCCACTCCCGGAAGTGTCCTCGACCGGGCGATGAAATTGGCCGCCAGTGCCGGTCAGGGCCAGGTTAGGAGAGGTCGTCCCTGAACTCTTCCCCTACGTTTCTTCTTGATCTTCCCTGAATCTTCCACATCCACGTAGCGAGAAGACGTCTCTGTCATCATGGGAGGTGGAGACCTGGTGAGTGGAGGGAGCCCGGAGCCCGATTGGCGCTGGGTTCGGAAATTGGCAGGGAGTGGGGTGGGGGCGGAGAGGGTAACTGTGGCGACGAAGCCTCGCAGTGGGGGAGGAGGGGGCGGTAACCCTGGAGAGGGGAGGCATCTTTAGGACCTTGGAGTGAAGCGTTCGAGGTGTGTCGCGAATGGGGCTGGTGATGTTTGTGTGCTCGTTGATGGGGGCTCTCTGGGCTGGAAATTCTGGGTAGGCTGGGAAGAGGGAGAGATGTTTAGGAAAGAAGGCAGATATTGAGGAATGGCACACAGATTTGTTTGTATATCTTGTCTTGGGACATAGCTCCTCTTCTTACTTAGGAGTTCAGAGGCCTGCCCTGGGCTGTAGTGTGAGTAATTTGTGCCTGCTTCTCCCTGTTCGTTAGCCAGGCCTTTTGAAGGAGAGCCATTTTAAGCCTGAAGGAATCTTCATGTCCACTTTTCTTTCATGTCTCTATCATTGCTCATTCTGATCTGTAGTTACAGAGCTTTGGTTGGATTCATAGCACTTATGTAAGTTAAGTGGCAGTTTCTCCTAAGTTGTGTCGTTGATTTGCAAGGGACTGAAGCCTTAAATAGGGCAAAGGTATCCAGAAGGGCACAGTGCAAGATTAGGAAAGTACCAACCTCCTGAAAGTGGAGCTAATTGAATCAGCAAATAGGTCAGCTTAGGTACCTGTTCAGTAGCCCTAGTATTTTTCAAATGTTCTCAATTAGACTGAGTTCCAGGACTCCATCAAGCTTCCTGTGAAAATTTAGTGTATTCTTCAGGTAACTGAAGGAAAGCTCTAAGCCAGTGTTTCTTAATCTCAGAGCTCTTGACAGTTTGGGCTAGGTAATTCTTTGTAGATGGGGGAGCAGAGGGGACTTGGATTGCACTGTGAATTGTAGGATGTTTAATAGCATCTCTGACCTCTAGCTGCTAGATGCCAAAAGCACCGTCTTCCCTTCATGTGACAACTAGAAATGTTTCCAGACAATTCCACCCATCCCTTGAGGGTGGGGCGCACATATGGTTGAAGCAGGGAGGAAAGGGATAACTAGTAGGGTAAGTGGGGGAGATGAGGAAGGAAGGATGGATGGATGGACTGAACAAAGGAAAGACTGAAGAAAGGAAGGAATGACCTGACACAGGGGAAAGGCACTTAAGGAAGGAAAGAGAAAAGCAAAAAATAAGGGAGCTCTCATTGATTGCACATTTTCTACCTGCCAGGTATTTTGTGTACATTTTATCTTTGTAACTGGTCTTCAGTCTTGGCCCTCTGTGGTCCACATTTCACATGATAGTGGGTTATGCCTCTTTCCTGCATATAACTAAGTGTTTCCTGCCATTAACAGGATAAACTCTAATCTCTTCACATGGCTTGTAAAGCCCTTAATCTTCTGTTTTTTTTTTTGTTTTGTTTTGTTTTGTTTTAAGAACTGGAGATTGAACCCCAGGGGCATTTTACCACTGAGCCATATACCTAGCCCTTTTTATTTTTTATTTTGAGACAGGATCTCACTAAGTTGCTTAGGGCCTCTTTGGGTCGCTGAGGCTGACCTTGAACTTTGACAATTCTCCTTCCTTAGCCTCCCGAGTTGCTGGGATTATAGGTGTATACCACTGTACCTATTGATCTGCTTCTTAGTTGACTTCATCTTGTACCCCTTCTCCATCAGTTTGCATTCCACCTCTAGCTACACTGAATTATTTGTGCTGTGTTCTTTCTCACCACTGGGGCTGTAGTTGCTGAGTGCTGTTTCTTCTGTTTGAAAACCTGCCCTCCTGCCAGGCACAGTGGCACATGCCTATAATCCCAGTGGTTAGGGAAGCTGAGGCAGGAGAATCACAAGTTCAAAGCCAGCCTCAGCAATTTAGTGAGGCTCTAAGCAAATTAGTGAGACCCTGTCTCAGAATATAATCTAAAAGGGGCTGGGGATATTGCTCAGTGGTTAAACATCCCTGGGTTCAATCACCAGTACCAAAAAAACAAAAAACAAAACAAAAACAAAAAAAAATCTGCCCTCCTATTGCCTACTTCCCACTCCATCAGGCTAATTTATTTATTTATTTTTAATCGGCGGACACAACATCTTTGTTGATATGTGGTGCTGAGGATCGAACCCGGGCCGCACGCATGCCAGACGAGCGCACTACCGCTTGAGCCACATCCCCAGCCCTTGGAGAAACTTCTGATGGGCAGTGTTAGCTAGGGGAATAGCTGATGGAGAGAAGAAAGAGAAGTAACATTCTTTGAGGATAAAGGATTTTAGTTTTTTTTTTTTTCTTTTTCTTTTTTGTGGTGCTGGGGATTGAACCCAGGGCCTTATGCATGCAAGGCAAGCACTCTACCAACTGAGCCATATCCCTGATGCCTCTTTGAGGGTAAAGGAGAAGATCAGAACCAAGGGGAGTTTCCTGGGAAGGAACATTGAAGGAAGTCCTAGGTAGGTTATAAAGTAAGTTTAGGGATTTGGGTTGTAAAAGAACTGAAGAAAAGGAATGTTGTGGGGCTGGGGATGTGGCTCAAGCTGTAGCGCGCTCGCCTGGCATGCGTGCGGCCCGGGTTCGATCCTCAGCACCACATACAAACAAAGATATTGTGTCCGCCGAAAACTAAAAAAATAAATATTAAAAAAAAAAAATCTCTCAACTCAAAAAAAAAAAAGAATGTTGTATTCCTAAGAAGGAATGCTTAATGCCAGTGAGTTCTGTTGCCTTTCTAAATACATACCATCCTCCCTGCCCCATTCCTCCTGTCTTGCCATCACCAATTCCCATTTTAGGGATGGCCAGTGAAAGTACAAGATTAAAACGTTTGAAGGGAACTCAGGAGGGGCCAGGTCCATTCTGCACAACTTTATGTACTGTTAGAAATCTGGTATGTGCTCAAAAGCTACTGGGCAGCCGGGAGTGGTGGCTCACATCAGTAATCCCAGCAACTTAGGAGGCTGAAGCAGGAGGATGGTGAGTTCAAAGCCAGCTTCAGCAACTTCCAGGTGTTAAGCAACTCAGTGAGACCGTGTCTCTAAATAAAATGCAAAATAGGCCTGGGCATGTGGCTTAGTGGTCAAGTGCCCCTGAATTCAATCCTCGGTACTCCCCGCCCCCCCCAAAAATGCTGCTAGGCAAAGCAAACTTTACTTCTTCAGAAGGGTATGCTACCAGAAAGAATCTGGCAAACAAGCACTTTGGGTAGGAAGTCTGCCCAGGTTTTTATCCCTAATGCAGCACTGCCCCTTACTCTGATAATAGGAGTTCGGGGTTACTGTGTGTGTGATTGACTGATTTAAAATTGGGAAGTGCAGGGGCTGGAGATGTGGCTCAAGCCGTAGCGTGCTCACCTGGCATGTGTGCGGCCCGGGTTCGATCCTCAGCACCACATACAACGATGTTGACTCCGCCCAAAACTAACTAAATAAATATTTAAAAAAAAATTGGGAAGTGCAAGGGGAAGGCATATAGTTATGTTTGGATTACCTACTCAACTACCTACAGGCATTATGATTGGAAGACTGAGGACAAAGGGAGATATATTGGGGGGGGGCTCTAAATGGCTACATTGCAACCTCATAGTTTTGTGACTTAAAAAGAGCTCCACAAAATAACTACACACTATGCAATTTAAGTTTTAAATTACAGCAAACACATTTTTGTTAACTCAGACTATAGGTTTAACTTTGTTTTTTTTTTTTTTTTTGATACTGAGGATTGAACCCAGGGGCACTCAACCACTGAGTCACATCCCCAGCCCTAATTTTTTTTTTTTTTTGTATTTTATTTAGACACAGGGTCTCACTGAGTTGCTAAATACCTCACTTTTGCTGAGGCTGGCTTTAAACTCAGGATCCTCCTGCCTCGGCCTCTCAATCCACTGGGGTTATATAGGTTTAACTTTGACAGAAAAGAGAACATTAATCTTACAGTACTTAAACACCCTCTCCATGTGAGAAATTATTGGATGTAAATCTTGTCATTGCAAAATATATCTTCTTCCCCACTGTTTTGTTTTTTTTTGGGGGGGGGTGTTGGGGATGGAACCCAGGACCTCATGTATGTAGGCAAGTACTCTACTATTCTACCATTGAGCTATAACCCCCGGCTGAATTATTTTCTCCCTACTTCCATTCACCACAGAATTTGAAGAAAAGCTGGCACCCACAGACCCTTCGCAATGTGGAGAAAGTGTGGAAGGCCGAGCAGAAGCATGAGGCAGAGCGGAAGAAGATTGAGGAACTGCAGCGGGAACTGCGAGAAGAGAGGGCCCGGGAAGAGATGCAGCGCTATGCTGAGGATGTTGGGGCTGTCAAGTAAGTGAGGAGTTGGGTGTCCTGATGTACAGAAAATTGCAGGACTGACTGCAGATGCCTAATCCAGATGTTGCATGATGGCTTAATGATTAAGTGTATAGGTTTTGGAGTGGGATTGACCTGGATTCTAAGGTTGGCTGTGCCTTGCTGTGAAATCGGGAGCCTTGGTTACTTTAGTAGAACCAGTTCTTAAGGCTTATTGAAGATCAAATGAGATTACATATTTAGTACTTAGTGTAGGCCACATTCCTGGTAGACTGTTGACAAATAAGCATGGCTGAGGATGGTTGTCTTTTCCTTGTTTCTATTTTTTTTTTTTTTAAAGAGAGAGAATTTTTTTTTTAATATTTATTTTTTAGTTTTTTGGTGGGCACAACATCTTTGTTTGTACGTGGTACTGAGGATCAAACCAGGGCCGCACGCATGCCAGGCAAACGCGCTACCGCTTGAGCCACATCCCCAGCCCTCCTTGTTTCTTGTTATGTGTCCACATCTCCTTTGTTTGTACGTGGTACTGAGGATCAAACCAGGGCCGCACGCATGCCAGGCGAACGCGCTACCGCTTGAGCCACATCCCCAGCCCTCCTTGTTTCTTGTTATGTGTCCACATCTCAGTCCTGCCTTTGTGTGAGCTCTTTTTATTGGGGCGATGAGGTCCCATGGGAGGAGGTAGATGGTGTGTCTGTCAATCAAACCTGTGTGGTTGTGGACAGTCCTACTGGATCAGTCAGTCAGTTTCTTATATAGTACATGCTAGGAATAACAGATATCATAAAAGGAAATGGGAGTAAATTTATGTTTTGAGACAGTAAAAAGCATAAAACCTGCTATTCATTCCTAAATCAGGATGACATTAAAAATATCGATAGAATAAAGTGAGTAATCTGTACTGACATTCCCCTTGTTCATGTCTTCATGGACAAAGTTTTCAGGGTAGTCGGTGGCTCACTTCTGTTATTGGATATGTGGGCTTTTCCTTAATAATCATGATAGGTTTGTGACATTAATGATTGTATGCATATGGTACCAGGTGCAGTGGTGCATACCAGGGGCTTGGGTGGCTGAGACAGGATTACAAATTCAGGGCCAGCCTTAGCAATTTAATGAGGCCGGAAGCAACTTAGTGAGATCCTGTCTTGAAATAAAATTTTAAAAGGCTGAGATGCGGCTCAGTGGTAAAGTGGCTCTGGGTTCAGTCCCCAATACTAAAAACAATAACAATAACAAAAAACAAAATAACATTGATTATAAGTTTCATATGTATATGAAACTTAGTTTCAGTTTATGGAAATGCTGTGATGGAACTGTAGCAGGAAAATAGATTGGGGAAAAAGCTTTTCTGATTTTTTTTTTTGGTTGGTTTTATTTTATTTGGAATTGAACCCAGAGGTACCATTGTGCTCATCTTATTCAGCTCCTGATATTTTTTGATCCCCGCCCTTGTGTCCTTCAACATTATAAAAACAAAGGTCAGCATGTGGGTCCCTTCCCTCTTTTTTTGGTCTTTAATGAAGATATATTTAGATAATCTTCTTACCCATTTGGCTTATTTGTATAGTTTTTGCACAGTTTCATGCTTTTAATGTAGCCAGTAAAACATCTTTTCTATTTAACAATTCACTTCTGTGGTTCAGGTAATCTTTTCCATGTATGAAATGCATCTCAGAATGAAGAAAACCTTTAATACTTAATGTGGATCTCAAAATTCCTCTCTAAAATAGAGTGTTTCTTTAATATTTACTGATAATATTGGAAAATTACATTTCCTAAACAATGGTCTATAATGGTGTTTCTCAACCCTTGCACTTTAGAATGGGCTTGGAAGATTAAATAAAGATGGGATGAGGGGCTGGGGTTGTGGCTCATTGGTAGAGCACTTGCCTTGCAAGTGTGAGGCACTGGGTTCAATCCTCAGCGCCACATAAAATAAAAAAATAAAGGTATTGTATCCCTCTACACACACACACACACATACACACACACACACACACACACACACACACATATATATAAGAATGATAGGTTTGTGACATTGATGATTGTATGCATATGATACCAGGTGCAGTGGTGCATACCAGGGGGGCTTGGGAGGCTGAGACAGGAGGATTAAAAATTTAGGGCCATGTGTATGTATGTGTGTGTGTGTATATATAAATAAATAAAGCTGGGTTGAGTTCCACCTAAGTCTTTTCCCTTTTGGAAAATAGGGGTTGTGTGAGGCAGGGCAACTATGTGTTTTAAAAGGCCCCCTGGCACAGTACACTGGCACATGTCTATAATCTTAGCAATTTGGGAGGCTGAGACAGGAGGATCACGAGTTCAAGGCCAGCCTTTGCAACTTAGCAAGATACTGTCTGAAAATAAAAATATGAAAAAGGGCTGGGGATGTAGCTCAGTGGTAAAGTGCCCCTGGATTTAATCCCCAGTATCAAAAGTAAATAAATAAATGGTCCCCTATTGTTGTACAGCTTTGATTGAGAATTGGATCTGTGTCCTTAATGATAGCAACAACAGCAGAAACTTTGTTTTCAAATGCTTTGCCCCCCAAATCTTTCCTTATTTAAAAACTCATAATAACAGTTTGACAACAGTAACTGATTACATTTTAGAGATGAGGATATAAGTTATCCAGCTAATTTCTAGTAGAACCAGATGCCAAGCTCTGTGCCCCTGGATTCCAACTCTACATGTTGTCTTCCTAGGGCTTGAGTAAGGCTGATATGAATTGAGTCCTTTTGAGATTAGGTGGAGCCAGGCAGTTACTACTACTTTATATAAGTATCTGCCTTCATTTTTCATATCCTTTCTTCTATATTTGGCCCAGTTGCCTTTCCCCTAGAAGCTCTTGAATTTTATCTGCAGTCTCCTCTTCTTCTTCTTTTTTTTTTTGAGTACTGGGGATTGAACCTAGGGGTGTTTAACCACTGAGCTACATCCCCAGCCCTTTTTTATGTTTTATTTAGAGACAGGGTCTCACTGAGTTGCTTAGGGCCTCACTAAGTAGCTGAGGTTGGCCTTGAACTTGCAATCCTCCTGCCTCAGCCTCCCAAGCCAGGTATGCACCACTCCACCCAGCTCCTCTTACCTTTCTTTCTTTTTTTTTTTTTTTAAATATTTATTTATTTATTTTAGTTCTCAGCGGACACAACATCTTTGTTGGTATGTGGTGCTGAGGATCTAACCCGGGTTGCACGCATGCCAGGCGAGCGCGCTACCGCTTGAGCCACATCCCCAGCCCCTTTCTGTCTTTTTTAAATATCTTTATTTTTTAGTTGTAAATGGGCAGTGCCTTTATTTATTTATTTTTATGTGGTGCTGAGGCTCGAACCCAGTACCTCACACATGCTAGGCGAGTGCTCTACCACTGAGCCACAGTCCCAGCCTTCCTCTTATCCCCCCCCCTTCATTTTCTTTTCTTTTCTTTTTTTAAGAGAGAGAGAGAGAGAGAGAGAGAGAGAGAGAGAGAGAGAGAGAGAGAGAGAGAGAGAGAGAGAGAGAGAGAGAGAGAGATTTTTTTTTAATATTTATTTTTTAGTTTTCGGCAAACACAACATCTTTGTATGTGGTGCTGAGGATCGAATCCGGGCCGCATGCATGCCAGGCGAGTGCGCTACCGCTTGAGCCACATCCCCAGCCCCCCTCTTACCTTTCTTAATTTCCCTTCTCCTTTCTTCCCTTACATAGCTCCTTGCTCTCACCCTGTACTGCCCATGCTCCCTGATTCCCTCTATCTGAGCTCTTTCGTTCCTCTAGTACCAATATATGCTTCATGCTGATGACCCTTAAACTTATCCCACACAGACTCTGTGTCATTGTATATTCAGCTGCCTAACAGGTAGTTCTACTTTTTGACCCAGAAGTACAAGAGTCACCTCAACACATACTTAGCTCTCATCAGCCCCATTTGGTGATTTATAGACCTATGGGCCTTACCAGTAGCCAGTGAATCTACTTCATCCTTCTGGCCTTTTCATCTTTCTGACACATAGGAGATATTTTTACAGATTAATACATGAGTCTTTATTCCCAACTCCTCCTCCTGTTAGTGTCAGGTACACACAGGCAAACTTCTAATTATCTTTGACATGTATTTTAACTGCTCCCTCATCCCCTCCACTGGCTATGGTTTGTGGTTGTCCTGGCTTCTCAGGGGGCTGAGAGAAGGAGGATTCCTTGAGCCCAGGAGTTTAGGGTCAACCTTGGCAATATATCAGGACACTGTTTCTTGAGGACATTTAAAAAAAATTTTTTTTTTTTTTGATACCAGGGATTGAGCCCATAGGTGCTTTACCACTGAGCCACATCTCCTGCCCTTTTTATTTTTATTTTGAGACAAGGACTAATTTGCTTAGAACCTTGCTCAATTGCCTTGAACATGGCGATCCTTCTTCCTCAGCCTCCCAAGTTGAGTGCCACCACACCTGGCTTTCTTTCTTTCTTTCTTTTTTTTTTTTTTTAAGTATTTTTTAGTTGTCAATGGACCTTTATTTTATTATTTGTATGTGGTTCTAAGTATCAAACACAGGGCCTCACATATGGAAGGCAAACGCTCCACCACTGAGACACAACCCCAGCCCCCTGGCTTTCTTTCTTTCTTGAGCCCAGGGGTGCTTTACCACTGAGCTATATTCCCAGCTCTTTTTATTTATTTATTAATTTATTTAGTTGTAGTTGGACATAATACTTTTATTTTATTTATTTTTATGTGGTGCTGAGGATCAAACCCTGCACTTTGCATGTGCTAGGCAAGCGCTCTAGCGCTGAGCCACAACCCCAGCCCATTTATGTTTTATTTTAAGGTGGGGGCTTCTAAGTTGCTGAGGGCCTTGCTAAGTTGGCTGAGGCTGGTCTTGAACTTGGGATCTCTTGTCTTAACCTCCTGAGTTGGGATTACAGGCATGTACCACCCTGCTGGGTTTCACTATGTCCTTAATTTCTGTCAAAAAGTACTTCCTAGCTCAAGGTTCATTGACTATGAAATTGTCAGACGTTGAATCCATGATTGTTGGGCATCTGTCTAGGAGACATAGCCATAGTCCCAGCCATTTAGGAGTTTAAAACTTGGTGGGAGAGAGAAACACATACATAAATAACACAAAGAACAACCAGCATTTATTGATACTTACTTTGTGCCATGACTCTGCTGAGTGACTTAAAAATCCATTAACTGGGCAAGGGATGTAGTTCAGTGGTAGAGTACCTGGCTAGCATATACAATGTCCTGGGTTCAATTCTCAGTACCATAAAAACAACAACAACAACAAAAATCTAAAAATCCATTGACTTGACTTAATTCCCAGCAACCCTGTGAGGTAGATAGTATTATATCCCCATTTGATAGGTGAGGACACCAAGGCTCAGAGGACTTACTTGGCTATAGGGCCAGGATTCAGGTCCATGTTGCTTGACTCCAGAACTTATCTTCTTTTTGTTTATTTATTTTTTCTGAGACAGGGTCTCACTACGTTGCCCAGTGGTTTTGAACTCTAGGACTTAAGCCATCCTCCTACTTTGGCCTTCCTAGTAGGTGGGATTATAGAACTTGTACTCATAATTGTCATGCTATATTCCCTATCAGGAAATGAGCCTCTGAGAATATTCTAGTTACCATTGACCTTCCTGCTCAGACCTCCTTATGATGTGATATGGTCTGCCCTATACAATCAGTTCTTTTCCTCTCAGACCCAGGAGTTTTCTATTGTTTGGATTATAGAAAACACAAAACTAGGCAGGGGCTTGGAGTTGTGGCTCAGCGATAGAGAGCTTGCCTCTCACATTCGATGCTCTGGGTTTGATCCTCAGCACCACATAAAAATAAATAAATAAAATAAAGGTTATTGTGTTCAACTACAGCTAAAAATAAATAAATATTAAAAAAAAAAACTACACAGGAAAATTCCCAAGGAAATGATGTTCATGTTTCATTGTTATTAACCTTTTGGCCCTTTATCTTCTAAGCATTTATGGTATTTTCTTGTAATTTTATTAAACATTTATTTTGATCACAACTGCAATAAAAATATAAATAAATAAATGTAATATCTTCAGATACCTCCCACTTCCCATGCTATTTTAAATAAAAAAATTGTTTAATGTTTCTTTATAGATTACTTGATCATAGTTGTCCCGCCTATAATTTTATTTATTTATTATTTTTTTGAGGTGCTGGGGATCAAACCTAGGGCTTTGCACATGTTAAGTGCTCTGCCCCTGAGCTACTGGTGACCCTAGCTCAACAGTATGTTTCCCTGCTCCAGTATTGGATCCAGTGGTGCTTTAATATTACTACTTCCTAACCGCCCCTGTCTTCCCCAGACAAGGTCTTGCTAAGTTGCCCAGGTTGACCTCAGATTTACAGTCCTCCTGCTTCAGCCTCCCTAGTATCTGGGATTATAGGTGTCTTACCTCACCCAGTGCCATATACAATTTAAAAACAGACTATAACTTGTTCTAAAATTCTTCTTGAATTGGTATCTGGTCCATTTTGTACTGTCAGTTTGGCTCTTGTAAGACACCACTTGTGATGAAATTCCAGGGATCTTCTTTCCCTCTAACTTGGAACATGACTTCCCAAACTGCAAAGCTCCCTCCTTTCCAGGAGCCCTGATATATCCAGGGCCTTGTATATGCAGGGCAAGCACTCTACCAACTGAGCTGTATCCCCAGCCCTCTGGAGCCCTGGTTTTAATAGTTGTCAGCCTCCTTCCTGTCTCTGATTTATTTACATGAGAGATTTAGGAAACCCTTTGTTTACATGAAAGACACCACTACCTGTGGTATTTCTTTTAAAGTCCCACTATAGTCTTCCGTTATCCACCAGGGT